TCTGGCCTTTTGTATACATAGGCCATTATCACTTGAAACATAAGAATCCAGGCTTCTGGCCTTCCTTTCCTAAAATTAATTTGTAATAGCCTAAGGGTGGTCTACATTTAGGTTAGTCAGTGCTCAAGGAGATATGTGTGTGTGTGTGTGTGTGTAAGTTAAATTCTTGTCCCAGATCTGCACCATACCTTGGCACAGGTGTAGATATTTGTAAGGGGGGTATATACCCAGGATAATACTGGGTTTCTCTATATTCCATAGCAAAACCCATCTGACAATGGCTTTGACGGTGGTAGTAGGATTGGTAGCAATTTTCCTGATCCTGGGTGGCACTTTTCTCTATTGGCGTGGGCGCCGGATTCAGAATAAAAGGGCTATGAGACGCTACTTGGAACGAGGCGAGGTGAGTACTTAGAGCTTAATTTTGAGAGGCACCCTGTGCCATCTGCACCCAGAAGTCAGTGATGTGATGAGCATCACTCCCCTCCTCCTTCACTCGAGATTTGACTCCTTTCTTTAAGGAGATAGTGTGATTCGCTAGAAAGAACACTGCTCAGAGAAATGGGAGGCATGATTTTGCCATTAATTTGCTACATGACTTTGAAGAAGTTACTTCTGTGTCTAAGTTTATACATCTAAATAGAGGAAATATCATTCCTCTGTATGGCTGTAAGGGCAAAAGCGGACAATGTATGTGAAAGTGCTTTGAAAAGCACAGAGCACTGTATAAAAGGCACTCGAGGTGGTGATACTATTACTCTCTCCAGATGAACCCCCTTCCCCCTCCCCCATCAAAAGGAAAACCCAACTCTCTGGATTCCTAATCTCATGAACACAAACAATTGCCACCATCAAGCTGGTGTAGTGGCTCACGCCTGTAATCTTAGCACTCTGGGAGGCCAAGGCAGGACAATCACATGAGGTCAGAAGTTTGAGACCAGTCTGAGCAAGAGTGAGACCCTGTCTCTACTAAAAATAGAAAAAATTAGCAGTGCGTGGTGACACTCACCTGTAGTCCCAGCTACTTGGGAGGCTGCAGGAGGATCCCTTGAGCCCAGGAGTTTGAGGTTGCTGTGAGCTAGGCTGATGCCACAGCACTCTAGCCCAGCAACAGAACAAGACTCTGTCTCAAAAAAAAAAAAAAAAAAAAATTCCACAGGGTCTGTTATTCCTCAATATGCCTACAATGTTTTCCAGGACTAAAGATAATTTCTCTTCCTGTCCTTTGGGCTCTACTGTGTTTGGCATCTACTTATGGGCAGTGGGTTGGAGTGGGATGTGAGAATGGGCTTTCCTGAATACCTCCTTCCCATCTGCTCCTTAGAGCATAGAGCCTCTGGATCCCAGTGAGAAGGCTAACAAAGTCTTGGCCAGAATCTTCAAAGAGACAGAGCTGAGGAAGCTTAAAGTGCTTGGCTCGGGTGTCTTTGGAACTGTGCACAAAGTGAGTGATCCACAGGAAGGCTGGAGAGGTGGGGAAAGATCTAGGGCAAAGGGGAGAAAAATTTTAGCAAAGGGCTGTCCTGCCTGGGGAGAATGACGCTAGACTGACTCCTGTCCTAAACTTCCCAGGGAGTGTGGATCCCTGAGGGTGAATCAATCAAGATTCCAGTCTGCATTAAAGTCATTGAGGACAAGAGTGGACGGCAGAGTTTTCAAGCTGTGACAGATGTAAGTGAAGGAAAAGGATTTTGTATGCTACTAGGAAAGAGGACAGTATTAGATAAAGTCATGTAGAAGCATGGTCCTGTGTTAGCAGCTAATATGTTAGCCATTATGTTAGTATGTTAATATGTTAGCCATGTTGATGTACTTGAACATCGGGGGATTCCTGGTCTGGGTGTACATGTGCAGACTGTATGTGAATCTGTTTGTTTCCTGGATAACACCTTTTGTGTCTCTTAGCATATGCTGGCCATTGGCAGTCTAGACCATGCCCACATTGTACGGTTACTGGGACTATGCCCAGGGTCATCTCTGCAGCTTGTCACTCAATACTTGCCTCTGGGTTCCTTGCTGGATCATGTGAGACAACACCGGGGGGCACTGGGGCCACAGCTGCTGCTCAACTGGGGAGTACAAATTGCAAAGGTAAGAGGAGCCTAGAGGAGCCCTATAATAAGAACTGCTGGGGGGAGAGGGGGACAGGGAGAGAGGGGGAAGAAGGTTGAAGTTCTGAGAGGTGCCTTCAGGGTTTGGGAGGATTCTAGATCTCAATGACTGTTCCCCCAACCCTGAGAATACTTTCTTCCCTTATAGGGTATGTACTACCTTGAGGAGCATGGTATGGTGCATAGGAACCTGGCTGCCCGAAATGTGCTACTTAAGTCACCTAGTCAGGTTCAGGTGGCAGATTTTGGTGTGGCTGATCTGCTGCCACCGGATGATAAACAGCTACTACACAGTGAGGCGAAGGTGAGGTAACACAAAGTGCTGGGTAAGGAGGTGGGAGTGGAGTCAAGCATGGGGATAGGGAGCAGTCAGTGGTCTCCTTCAGGGGCAGGGCAGATGCTTCATAGTAAGTTTAAGAAGAGAAAGCTAAGGCCGGGTGTGGTGGCTCACACCTATAATCCTAGCACTCTGGGAAGCCAGGGTGGGAGTGCTGCTTGAGCTCAGGAGTTCAAGACCAGCCTGAATAAGGTTGAGAACTCTTCTCTAATAAAAATAGAAAAATTAACCAGGCATGATGGTGTGTGCCTGTAGTCCCAGCTACTTGGGAGGCTAAGACAGGAGGATTGCTTGAGCTCAGGAATTTGAGGTTGCTGTGACCTATGATGACACCACTGTATTCTACCTGGGGTGACTGAGTGATACCCTGTCTCAAAAAAAAAGAAAGCTAGAGATGTCAGAGATTTAAGTTCAGAGAGCAACAAGCAACAAAGAAAAGAATAAGATAACTTGGGACTTGGAAATGCTAAGAAAATTTGTGGAAATCAACTGGTGACACCTTTATCTTTAATCCTCAGACTCCAATTAAGTGGATGGCCCTTGAGAGTATTCACTTTGGGAAATACACACACCAGAGTGACGTCTGGAGCTATGGTCAGTGCATCTCATTGCCCTCTATACCATCACTGGACCAAATTTCACAACTGCCTTTTGAGACCTCCTCTCTTATAATCTCTAAGGACTTCAGATCCTTGTGTCAAATCAGGTTCTGGCCAGGCGCAGTAGCTCACGCCTGTAATCTCAGCATTGGGAGCACTTTGGGAGGCCAAGGCAGAAGGATCGGTTGAGGTCAGGAGTTCAAGACCAGTCTGAACATAGCAAGACCACATCTCTACAAAAAGTATTTTAAATTTTAAAAATATTATACAAGCATGGTGGCTCATGCCTGTAGTCCTAGATACTTGGGAGGCTGAGGCAGGAAGATCACTTGAGCCCAGGAGTTCAAGGTTACAGTGAACTATGATTGTGCCTCTGCATTCGAGCCTGAGCAAAAATAAATCGGGTTCTGCCTTCCCTTCACTTCATGCCCCTGTCTACTATTTTACCATCTACTAGTCCATTTCTTCCTGTCATCAGGTGTGACAGTTTGGGAGTTGATGACCTTTGGGGCAGAGCCCTATGCAGGACTGCGATTGGCTGAAGTACCAGACCTGCTAGAGAAGGGGGAGCGGTTGGCACAGCCCCAGATCTGTACCATTGATGTCTACATGGTGATGGTCAAGTGTGAGTTACCTGCTGACCCCAACCATTTTCTGACTTCCTTCCCTACTTGTCTTATGGCTCTATTCCCGTTTATGTCTCTACCTCCTACGTTTTACCCCTAGGTTGGATGATTGATGAGAACATTCGCCCAACCTTTAAAGAACTAGCCAATGAGTTCACCAGGATGGCCCGAGACCCACCCCGGTATCTGGTCATAAAGGTAAGTAGGGACTAAGAGGTGTCAAGGAAATTTAGAGAAAGGGGGACTTGGCTGGAACTAGGATTCACCCTAACAATTATCTGCCCCTATAGAGAGAGAGTGGATCTGGAATAGCACCTGGGGGAGAGCCCTCTGCTCTGACAAACAAGGAACTGGAGGAAGTAGAGCTGGAACCAGAACTAGACCTAGACCTAGACTTGGAAGCAGAGGAGGACAACCTGGCAAGCACATTGGGCTCTGCCCTCAGCCTACCAGTTGGAACACTTAATCGACCACGTGGGGTAAGACACCTTCTAATTACCAATTCTCTGCACCCTGTGAGCCCTCATGAACCCTATAGATACCTATATTAACCACTTAAAGCCCCCATGGTAAGAGTAGAGTTCTCCCTTAAACCTTTTCCTTATTTTTTTTCATCCTAGAGCCAGAGCCTTTTAAGTCCATCATCTGGGTACATGCCCATGAACCAGGGTAATCTTGGGGAAGCTTGCCAGGTAAGGTCTGTTGCTGGCATCCTGGGTCTTAGGATCAGAATGATAGGGGTAGTGTGGGAGGCATTAGAAACCTTTAAGGTTTAATCTGTGTCCTACAAAAAAGGCATTGAACTATCCATTCGCCTTCTTTCCTTGTCTCTATGTAAATCTCCTTGTATTATTTTGTTTATTTTCCCCTTTAGGATTCTGCAGTTTGTGGAGGTAGTGAACGGTGTCCCCGTCCAGTCTCTCTGCATCCAATGCCACGGGCACGCCTGACATCAGAGTCATCAGAGGGCCATGTGACAGGCTCTGAGGCCGAGCTCCACGAGAAGGTGTCAATGTGTAGGAGCCGGAGTCGGAGCCCACGGCCCCGTGGAGACAGCGCATACCATTCCCAGCGCCACAGTCTGCTTACTCCTGTCACCCCACTCTCCCCACCAGGGTTAGAGGAAGAGGATGTCAACGGTTATGTCATGCCAGATACACACCTCAAAGGTGCCTGATCTTCCTAGGGCTTTCCTCAATTCTTCCTCTAATCCTTTCTCTGGGCTCCTCTTAATTCTTTTGTCTTCTCTGATCATGTGTTTCCCTATTCATTTTTATCTAATTTCTCCCATCCCCCACTGCCTATTACCATCATGTTCTCCACATACCTAGCCTCTCTTCTCAACCCCTAGGTACTTCCTCCTCCCGAGAAGGCACTCTTTCTTCAGTGGGTCTCAGTTCGGTCCTGGGTACTGAAGATGATGAAGATGAGGAGTATGAATACATGAACCGGAGAAGGCACAGTCCACCTCGTCCCCCCAGACCAAGTTCCCTCGAGGACCTGGGTTATGAGTACATGGATGTGGGATCAGACCTCAGTGCCTCTCTGGGCAGCACACAGAGTTGCCCACTCCACCCTGTGCCCATCATGCCCACTGCTGGCACAACTCCAGATGAGGACTATGAATATATGAATCGGCGACGTGGTGGAGGTGGTCCTGGGGGGGATTATGCAGCAATGGCAGCCTGCCCAGCAGCTGAGCAAGGGTATGAAGAAATGAGAGCTTTCCAGGGGCCTGGACATCATGCCCCCCATGTTCATTATGCCCGCCTTAAAACTCTACGTAGCCTAGAAGCTACTGACTCCGCCTTTGATAACCCTGATTACTGGCATAGCAGGCTTTTCCCCAAGGTTAATGCCCAGAGAACATAACCCCTGCTCCCTGAGGCACTCAGGGAGCATTTGATGGCAGCTAGTGCCTCTAGAGGGTACCCCTCTTCTCCCTATTCCCTCTCCCTCTCTCTCACAGGTCTCAGCCCTATTTTCCCAGTCTTAGACAATTCCATTCAACATTTGGAGGCTTTTAAACACTTTGACAAAAAATTCTTGTGATATGTAGCCAGCTGTGCATTTTCTTCTCTTTCCTAACCCCAGGAAAGGAGAAGGTTTTTCCCTATTTCGTGTGCTTTCCCAATCCCATTCCTCAGCTTCCTGACAGGGACTCCAGGAGATATGAAGGATTACTCTCCATGTCCCTTTCTCTCAGGCTCTGACTTGTTGGGACTAGGCTCTTAGTATGCCTTTGTTTCCCATCAGAAACAGAAATGGGAGGAGACCTGGCAGAGGAAAGTATTATAAAATTTTGGCTTCTGATTCTTAACCTCCTAGAAAGACTGGGAAGCTTAAAATTTTATGGAATGCAGAAAGAGGTTTGGAATACTGTTAATTGAGGACTTACTATGAGCTAAGCATCATGCTAAACTTTACCTACATTATCTCACTTAATCCTTTATGATCCTTACAATTCTGTGAGATATATAGTATCCTATTTACAAATAAAGAAACTGAGCCTTAAAGAAATTAAGTAAATTAAGCACCAGGTCCAGGATTCAAAATTTTCCTAATTCCAGTGCAAGTCTCCTACTGTAAGGTATCAAGGAAAATTGATATAAGTCAGAGCCTTATAAGGGTCATTGTTTTCTTACTTTTGCACTGAATCAAGTCTAACCCCAACAACCACGTCCTCGTCCTATACTCAGACCTCATCTCAGGAAGTGGTGGGGGGGTATCAGAAGGAAAAATAACTGGACATCTTTGTGTAAACCATAACCCAAACCCACTATAAATGATTTCCACTCCTTACCCACAAGGGTCCCCGAAATCCACTTTTAGGAGCTATTCTCATCCAGTAGTGAGAAGCTTCCAGGTGGGACAGAAAGAAGACCCAGCTTCAGACCTCTGTCCCCTGGGATGGAGAACTAGAGGAAAATGTATGTTGTATCATTGAAGTTTTTGTTTTGTTTTTATACACGTCTGAATAAAAATGCCAAAGTTTTTCCAGCTTCCTGTCTGAAACACACATTTAGTGTGTTAAATAAGAGACTGCCCCCTTTCTCTGCTCCTCAGCAGTGGATAGTTAACTTTCTCTGTCTTTTTAAAGTCCTACTCGGTACCATCCAGCTTTCTCCAGCCCTATTTTTTACTTGTATTCCCTTAAAACAAGCATAATGCACAGTCCTTTTCATTTAGGGTTTTACTAGGAATCTACAGAGCAACCAACTTGGCAGAGTAACACAAAAAAAGTACGTGTTTGGTGAAGTTAGAAAAAGCCCTTTGGCTAGAGAAACTAAGTTCTGTGTGGTGAAAATAAAATTTAAAAAGTAAAAAAATATTTAAAAAAAAAAAAGCCCTATAGACACACTTTCTCCTTTAGAGGTGGAATACTGAAACCTACAGATGTTTCCTGAACGCATTCTCTTAAGAGAGTCATCATCCAGTCAGATGTGGCCCACAGGAGAAAAGAAAACAGTCACCCAATTCTTTCTTAACACTTCCCTTAGGTGTCATCCAAGCCCACTGTTGGAACAACAATGCCATTCTACTTCACTGGGAGTCTGTCCTCTAGATTGGGAGGCCTTTAAAGGGATAATCCCGGCCGGGCGGGACGTGGCTCACGCCGGTAAGCCTAGCACTCTGGGAGGCTGAGGCGGAAGGATCGCTTTAGGTTAGGAGTTTGAGACCAGCTTCAGCAAGAGTAGGACCCTATCTCTACCAAAAATAGAAATTACCTGGGCAACTAAAAAAAAAAAAAAATAGAAAAAATTAGCCGGGCGTGGTGGCGCTCGCCTGCAGTCCCAGCTACTTGAGAAGTTGAGGCAGGAGGATCCCTTGAGCCTAGGAGTTTGCCGTTGCTGTGAGCTACGATGACGCTAGGGCACTCTAGCCTGGGCAAACGAGACTCTTGTCTCAAAAATCAATCAATAAATAAAAGGGATAATCCCTTCAGAGTCTGGCTAACCAGTAAGCCCCTGCTCCCAGCACCTAGGTCTTCTTCCACACCTGCTCTGCCCTTCGCCTTTTCCCAGCATTGGAAGAGGTTTAGACCGGCTGGGCCGGTCCCGCAAGTCGAGCCAGGTATCCGAGGAAGGGCCAACCCAGCCTCCCCACCCTAAGTGAAGACACTGCCCACCCGCCTCGGCTCCACCCTGCTCCACCTTACTGTGCCGCCTCTAAACCCAGTTCCCCGCTGCAACTCCGCCCCTTCTCCCTCGAGCCCGCCCTCTTCTATTACAAGCTTTGGCTCAACGCACTCAGTAGAAGTGGTTTTTCCGGGCGAGACCACGCGTCCCCTCAGACTCACTAACGGCTCCGCCTTCCCGCCGGAGCCTGACCCTTCCCAGCGTGCCCGGCGACTCCGGAGTGCGAGGCCCTGGGAGGGCAAGGCCCCTGGGCCTGGCGTAGGGGCGCGAGAGGCAGGCTGGGAATTGTAGTTCATACGACCACGAAGGCGGCCAGAGGTTGGCGGTCGGAAGGACTCGTTGTCCCAGCGTGCCCTGCGCCTCAGCCCGCGCGCTCGCAGCTTCTCGCTCTCGCCTGCCTGCCCGCTCCCTTGCTTGCTCGCGCTTTCGCTCGCTCTCTCCTCGCGGATCGAGGGGGCTCTGACCACAGTCTGTGGCTGGGAAAGGAGACAGAGGCGGCGGCTCAGGGAAAACGAGACTGCAGTGGTGGTGGTGGAAGATGTCGGGCGAGGACGAGCAGCAGGAGCAAACTATCGCCGAAGACCTGGTGGTGACCAAGTATAAGATGGGGGGCGACATCGCCAACCGTGAGTGCGGCCTCAGGGGTCCGGGAATCGAGGCTGAGAGGGAAAAGTGCCAGGCTGGTCCCGGAGGGGCTGGAGCGGCGGGGTCATGCGGAGAAAGCTACTGATGGGCCCACACTGGTCCGCTGGGGGCGGCGTGGTGGGAAAGCCTGGTGTAGCGCCTGGGACCTGAGCGGCCAGGCCTGGGCTGGAGTCTGTGGAGGTGCGGGCGGGCGACCGGGAAGAGCGCAGAGGGGCTTCCTGCAGGCTCCGACCCTAGGCCGTTGGTTAGGGGGCAAAGCGCGTCTTCTCCTGCTCTTACCTCCTCAGTCAGGATTTCTGTTTCCTCTGATTCTGGCAGCGGCGAGGCCACCTCGAAAAGGAAGGGCCCAGCTGTTGGCGACAGAAGCGCCCCTCTGTCTTGTAGCGTCTCTGGGGCGTCAGGAGCCCAACCAGCACGTGTTGCTGGGTCCCCATGTGGATCGTTGGCTCCCTTTTCCACTACTGTCCCTGACACCAGCTTCCACACCACGTGCTTTGCTGGAGTCTTCCCTTCTTTACTTCAGCTCTTACCCTGGTGGGGGCCCCCTTCTACCCTTGGGCAAGCTCAGGGGACCGTTGGCGTGCACTGCTGGAGCTCCTAACACAAATCTTGGAGATACATCTGGCTTTTCTTGAAGTTTTTCATTCCTGTCACCCCTCCAATATGTGCAGATAGCTGTAGTTAGCCTTCAAATTTGCTTTCAATGACTTGACAACTCCAGGAGTGTTTGGGGGCTCTCCTCTTACCTCAATTAGGCAAGCTTTTGTGAAGAGTACTGGAACAGGGAGGATTGATTTTAGAATTGTCAAAAGTCATCCTTATTTGAGCTGTGCTCTGATGTTCTTAAGCAGTTGCCTGCCACTCTAGACAGATGTCTCACTTCGTTTATTTTCCAATTACCTCCAATTTTAGAACCCGTTAGGGAGGATTAGAAATGTTGCCTTAGGCTTTTTTTTTTGCTTAATTGCCAGGCTTAAGGAGTGCGCTGCGTCAGCTCGCTCACGCAACATCAAAATCCGGGCTCAAGCCTCCTCTGCCTCAGCCTCCCAGTAGTGGATAAGCATGTGCCCCATGCCCGGCTAATTGTTTTATTATTTAGTTGGTCCATTTTTCTTTCTGTTAGTTAAGCGGGTCTGCTCAGGCGGTTTGAATCTGACTGGAATCCTTCCCTTCTTGTCCCCGAGTGTACCGGCCCGGACCGTCCTTAGGCTTTTTTTTTTATTGGGGAGGAGTCTCTTGTTGCCGGGCTAGCCCGAGGGAGTGCCATGCGTCAGCTAGCTCACAGCAACCTAAACTCTGGGCTCAAGCAATCTGCTGCCTCAGGCCTCCCGAGAGCTGGACTACAGTGCGGGCACGATGCCCGGCTAGTTGTATATATATATTATTGGCCATAATTTCTTTTATTTTGTAGTAAGACGGTCCGCTCTGCTCAGGCGGTTCGAATCTGCTAGAGCGCCACCTCAAGCATCCGAGTGCCTAGATTACAGGCGTGAGCCACCGCGGTGCGGCTCTTAGGCTTTATGTTTGACAGTAGATTGTTGGGGAGAGATTTAGGATGCTTCGGCTATTTCCAGCTTCAAAGTCATCACAAACAGTATCAACAAAACTGAAGTTCAGGATGTATTATGGAGAGGGCATGGACAGATGAATGCTTTAACCAATGCGCTTTTATTTATATGATCGTCTTTTTGTGCCTTTAGTTTATGCTAATGGTTTGAATCAGAAAAAAAAATATTTTTTCTTTCTTGCAATTTATAACTTGAGGCACTTGTGATCTCAGATACCAGGTTTTGTTTGTTTGTTAGTTTGTTTGTTAGAGAGAGGTCTCACTTTGTTGCCCAGGGTGAGTGCTGTGGCGTCAGCCCAGCTCACAGCAACCTCAAACTCCGGACTCAAGCATCCTACACCTCAGCTCCCAAGTAGCTGGGAGCTGACAGGCATGTGCCACCATGTCTGGCTATGTTGTTGTCAATATATTAGTTCAGTTGCAATTTATTTCTTTCATTTATATGTAAGAGACGGGTTTACTATTGCTCAGGCTGGCTTCAAAACTCACTGACCTCGGAGCAGTCCGCCCGCCTCGGCTCCAGTATGCTGTAGGATTCAGGCGGGGAGCCACCTCGCCGCACTCAGATACCAGTTTTGAACTTTTTGGGGTCAAGTAGCACATACATACATCTTTGAGATCTACTGGAAGTTCTAAGCCATACGGGTCCCCTGAAACCAGGGACCTTAAGTAATCTCGGCTTATCATTGTTTGTGAGGAAATAAGTCTACCTAAACTGAGATACGGTAACACCTAATTAGGTGTCATGAGAGGAAGACCAGGAACATTATACTATGCATCAGTCTCGAGTGCAGCATTGTGTCTATATTGCCATTGTCCTGATGCCAATAATTCCTCTACCTTTCATGTATGTGGATACGTTGGCCAGAGCCCGCAAATCTCTAATTCTGATCACACTCAACGGTATATTTTGGAAAGTTTGGGCTGATGTAGGGAGAAAGTTCTGTTATAATTACGCCAATGTAGGGGAGAAAGGGAGTGTTGACTTTTTTTTTTTTTTTTTTAGGAAAAAGGTAAAATTAGGATATCATTCCAAGAGGCAACTTGTTTCCTTTTTCCAGCTCAGGGCAGTGGCACTTTGGGATAGAAAACTCAAAAGGCGGTGCGCGTGGTCACACCTGCTAACCTAGCCTTGGGCAGGCTGAGGCGGCAGATAGCTCGAGGTCGGATGTTGAAACTAGCTGAGCAAGAGCGAGACCCGCTCTAGTATAAATAGAAAGATTAATTGGCCAACTAATTATAGAGAAAAAAATTAGCTGGGCATGGGTGGCGCATGCCTGTAGTCCCAGCTATTGGGAGTGAGGCCAGTAGATCGCTGAGCCAGTGGAGGTTGGAGGTGTGTGAGCTACGGTGACGCATGGACTTCTGCCTGGGCAGCAGAGCAAGACTCTGTCTAAAACAAATAAAAAGAAAAAAAGAAAGAAACTCCTGGAGTTCAACTTCAGTAGTGTACTTGGTATGTAACAGTAAGGATACATGGCAAGGCTGACGATGATGGGATTCTTCCCCAGGGGTCATTCGGATTTTTTTTGGTGGAAGCATCCAGTTCAGGTGTTCGCGTACGTGAGCCTGTGTGAGAGGTGATGGCCCATGATTATGGAAGGACAGGGAAATCTTTCAAGAAAGAAAAGAAATGAAGAAGGGTAAAAAAAAAAAAAGTCACTCACTTGTAACTTTGGTTTGGTCATGTTTTTTTCTTGTTTTTTTTATTATAATGATACAGTCCCTACCCAACTCTGGTTGAGATATTTGGAAATTTGCAATGGCAAGTGGAATACAAGTTTCCTACCCAATCCAAACTGATGAAACTTAAGCACAACTCTGAAAAAAATCCTTCCATTTTCCTGAAGGGCAACAGGGCTCCCAGTAGAGAGCAAAGCAGTAAGGCTGATGATTCTTTCTTTACAGGTATTGCTTTTCCCACCAGCATTTCAGTAAATAACTGTGTATGTCACTTCTCCCCTTTGAAGAGCGACCAGGACTATATTCTCAAGGAAGGTGACTTGGTAAAAATGTAAGGTTAAACCATTTTAAAGCATTTGTCCTTTTTTTTAAGCATTTACATAGTGCTGATTCCTAATGCAGTACTCTGCTCTTGCCTTTTAGTGACCTTGGGGTCCACGTGGATGGCTTCATCGCTAATGTGGCTCACACTTTTGTGGTTGGTGTAGCTCAGGTAGGTGGCCTGCTTTTGATCTCTATTCAACCTAGGTGGTGGTGGGGTGTACTGCCATTTATCTCTTAACCCCATCCCCTATCACCATATAAGTTTTTCGAGAGAGCCTCTAGAGAACCAGTGGAGAAAGTTTTTTTTTTTGTTTGTTTGTTTGTTTTTAAGACAAAGTCTTACTCTGTTTCCTGGGCTGGAGTGCCATGGCATCAGGCTAGCTCACAGCAACCTCAAACTCCTGGGCTCAAGCAATCCTCCTGATTCAGCCTCCTGAGTAGCTGGGACTGCAGGCGTGCGCCATCATGCCCAGCTAATTTTTTCTATATATTTTTAGTTGTCCAGCTAATTTCTTTCTATTTTTAGTAGAGACAGGGTCTTACTCTTCCTTAGGCTGGTCTTGAACTCCTCTGACTTTGAGCAATCCTTCCGCCTCAGCCTCCCAGAGTGCTAGGATTATAGGTGTGAGCCACCACGCCTGGCTAGGAGAAAGGTTTTTTTCTCTCCTGTTTATTGGCTCACCTTTGCATATGGGCACACAGCTAGATATTAACTAAATGGCCAGCTGAGTTAGCAGGCTTTCCAGGAAGACACTGATTACATGTCCTTATCTACAGGGGACCCAAGTAACAGGGCGGAAAGCAGATGTCATTAAGGCAGCTCACCTTTGTGCTGAAGCTGCCCTACGCCTGGTCAAACCTGGAAACCAGGTAAGCTATTTTATCCAACTCCAAAGCTTGATAGAACCAAGGATGTATTAGGCACTAGAGCTATTACGAACCACCTCTACAGTCCCCTTATAAAACAGCTTCGTAAAATTAGCTACACAGTACCTACCATAGATAGTTCCATGCTAGGTATATGGGAATATATGGTCCCTTCTTCGTGGGGCCTATAGAGAGCTTTGTTTATGTTTGGTATGTGCATCTTTTCCCAAAATAATTTGAGGTAGGTAGCCTACAATAAAACACAGAGACAAACACTCAATTAATTTTAAAGGCTCATAGAACAAAAATCATTAAAAGGGCAGGGGAGAGATAATTGTACCAGTAAACTGGTACTGGCTAAAGAGACGCCAAAAGTTAGTTTTGTACTTTGCAAGATACTTAGGAAGCCGAGAGATCATAAAGTTCTCATGAGCAAAAAAAATTAAGCATGTCAGATTGTCAGTGGAGATATCGCTAACACACACTTGATTCCCAGAGGCCTATTCAATACTTAAAACATTGTCCTTTTTTTCTTTCTCTTTTTCTGTGTTCAAGTAGTAAGGGGCAGTAATAGGGTATGGACCCTATGTGCTTATTCCTCACACTTTTTATCAATTTGTACTTTTATTACTTAATTACATTATTTTTACCCAAACCTCTGTCTTAGTTTCCTTGTGATGATACCTACCTTTATAAAGTTGTTATGAAGCCCTTTGAACAATGCCTGCCATATAGTACAGACTTGAATTTGTTATTTTACACATTATTGTTTTTATTATTTACATATTTATGTATTTTCACAGGAAAGTAGTGTTCTATAATGGCAGGTGTAGCTATGAAATCAAATTGGGTCCATACCCTATTAGTGTCCCTTACTGCTTAAAAATAATGTTGAGTTCAAATTTATCTGTAAAATGGGAAAAATAAAATTGTGCTTTATTCTTATAGGGTTGTGGTGACAATTGAGATAATCCACATAAAGTACTTATAGTACCTGCCACATAATTAAATATTCAATAAATATTAGCTCTGATTACATTTTTTTGTCTAATAAGTGTAGCTTTGGTGAGGATCAGATCATGTTTGAAAGAGACTTAAAAAAAAGAAAAAATAAGGGTTTGCTGTCCCCTCTCAAAATGTTATAATGCCAGATATAAAGAAGGAAACACTGGACTTAACATCAGAAAACCTGGGTTTATGACCAGATTGTTCCACTTAACACTTGTTTAACTTTGGGCAGATCACTTAACCCTGATGAGACTGAGTGTCCTCATCTTCTAGACTGGGTTTTATGTCTGCCCTGTTCACCCTTAAGAATTATCTAATTAGACCATCTTTCTCAAAGTGCTTTGTAAAATGATATGCAAATGCAGACTTAATTGTTCAAAAAAGGAATACACATTCAGTAGAAACTGTACTTTGAGTACCCATACAACCATTCTGTTTTTCAGTTTGCATAACTACTCAATAAATTAACAGGATATACTCAACATTATTCTAAAATAGGCTTTGTGTTAGATAATTTTGCCCAATGTAAGTGTTGTGAGCATGTTTAAGGTAGGCTAGGCTATGATGTTTGGTAAGTTAGGTATAGTAAATTTATTTTCGACTTTATAGATATTTTAAACTTAAATTGAGTTTATCAGGACGTAACCCCATTTTAAGTTCAGGAACATAGCATCTATATAAGGTATTTTTAGGTTATAGGGGGATAATAGGGCTATGAAATGAAAAACCAGTGAATAAAAATTGTTGGCAGTTGATGGAGGATATGAGAACTCTGTTGTTTTGTGCTGCTTATTCTCATGATTGAGAACTTATTAGCCCCTGATATTTAACCTTTTATTTAATCTTGCACTTCTAGAACACACAAGTGACAGAAGCTTGGAACAAAGTTGCTCACTCATTTAATTGCACGCCAATAGAAGGTGAGACCTCAGATAACAGGGTTGAGGGTCTAAGAACAAGTGGTTTAGCAGAATTAAGGATTTTGCTCCCTTAATGATCCATCCTGGCTCTAGTTTAGTCTAAGCCAGAAATCTCAGTGCCATGTGTCTCCATAACCAGGCATTTTTCTCATTGCCCACCCCTTCAAACTACTTAGGTGGGTGGATTTGGAAACCTTTTGGGATTCTAGATAGCTGGTACCATAGGCTGTGTCCTGTATACAGGTATGCTGTCACATCAGTTGAAGCAGCATGTCATCGATGGAGAGAAAACCATTATCCAGAATCCCACAGACCAGCAGAAGTAGGTGCCAACCCCACTATTCACCTTCTGTCACACCAGACAACTCATCATCTTTGTTCCCACACTCCCAACTTAATCTTATCCACCTTCCACTCAAAGCTCCCAGGAGCTACTTAGTACTTTTAATGTTCTCTTTCTCTCTATTCCTTTTAGGAAGGACCATGAAATAGCTGAATTTGAGGTACATGAAGTATATGCTGTAGATGTTCTCGTCAGCTCAGGAGAAGGCAAGGTGAGGAGAGTACCAGAGTTGGCAAAGCAGAATGACTAAGGGTATGTTCACCAGACCAAAGGTGACTTAATGTACTCTTGTAGGCCAAGGATGCAGGACAGAGAACCACCATTTATAAACGAGACCCCTCTAAACAGTATGGCCTGAAAATGAAAACTTCACGTGCCTTCTTCAGTGAGGTGGAAAGGCGTTTTGATGCCATGCCATTTACTTTAAGGTACTGCACTTAGCAAGGACAGGACTTGGAACCACTCTGACTCAGACCGTGCACCTAGGAACGCTTTTCCCTCCCATATCTCTCCCTTCCTGTCCCTTCCTGCCTAAACATGTAGCATGCACTTGCTTGCTCCCTCCCTTTCCCTGTCTGCTTCTCATTCAAGGTAATGTAAAAGAGCAATCCTGAGCATGATTTCTGCCTGAGGGTAGTAGCTATTTTTAGAAACATGGTAACACTGGATGGGGAGTTAAGGATACTTCTGAATATTGTCTTCTCCTACCCAGAGCATTTGAAGATGAGAAGAAGGCTCGGATGGGTGTGGTGGAGTGTGCCAAACATGAACTGCTGCAACCATTTAATGTTCTCTATGAGAAGGAGGGTGAGTTCAAAGAAGAGAGTTTTCACTGTGGAGCCCCTGGTTATATGGCATCCTTCTTTTTCCTATAACTTCAGAAGAGCTAAGTACAACAAAGGAACGTTTTATCAAAACTTTTCATTTTTTCCATAGGTGAATTTGTTGCCCAGTTTAAATTTACAGTTCTGCTCATGCCCAATGGCCCTATGAGGATAACCAGTGGTCCCTTTGAGCCTGAGCTCTACAAGTCTGAGATGGAGGTCCAGGATGCAGAGTTGAAGGTTAGTGTAGAATAAGAAGGTGGTGGGTATGTGGCACTTCCCCTGGGAGTAAGGGCTAAATGCCAGCAAAGTCCTGAAAAGAGCCGCAGGACTGACAGTAACAATTTGTGTTTTTTGTTTTTTTTTAAGCTAGTCAAGCGTGGTTGTGGGGGGAGTGTTAAATCAGCTTAACAATAACCCACAACCCTCGGACCAACTACAATTTGTGTTTTTATTTCCTCAAAATTTGTTGCCTTCTTTCTGTTTTCCAGGCCCTCCTCCAGAGTTCTGCAAGTCGAAAAACCCAGAAAAAGAAAAAAAAGAAGGTGTGTTATGATCATCCTTCTATAGCACCGTGAACCTGATCCCTCTTTATTCCACCTTCCTGGGTCATGGTGGGGTATGGACTTTTGTATAGATAGATGCTCCTCAACCTGTGATGGGGCTATATCCTGATACACCCATCGTAAATGGAAAATAGTTAAGTAAAAAATGGATTTAATACACCTAACCTACTGAGAACATCATAGCTTAGCCTGGCCTACCTTAAATGTGCTCAGAACACTTTACATTAGCCTACAGTTGAGCAAAATTATTTAACACAAAGCCTATTTTATAATAAAGTATTGAATATCTCATGTAATTTATTGAATAAATTATCAAGTATCATGATATGCATATTGGTTTCACACCATTGTGAAGTTGAAAAATCATTAAGTCAGCCATTGTGAGTCAGGGATTGTCTATATATCCATATTTCAGCCCTGACCCAGAGTATGAAGATGTTTTTATTTCTGGTACCTAAGACACTATCCCCAAGCAGTTAGAAACTGACAAGTCCTCTGTCCTTTTCTTGAATATATAGGCCTCCAAGACTGCAGAGAATGCCACCAGTGGGGAAACATTAGAAGAAAATGAAGCTGGGGACTGAGGTGGGTCCCATCTCCCCAGCTTGCTGCTCCTGCCTCATCCCCTTACCACCACACCCCAGGCTCTGTGAAGTGCAGTTCGTGTTCTACACCCAGGATCGCCAGCAGAGTGGGGTCTCCCTGCCCCCATCCCAGTTCCCCAACCCACTCCCTTCCAACAACAACCAGCTCCAACTGACTCTGGTCTTGGGAGGCAAGGCTTCCCAGCCACCGAAGACTACTTTAAACAGAAAAAAAATTGAATAATAAAATCAGGAGTCAAAATCCATCGTCTTCAGGCCCCTCTTTCTAGCCTTTTCTACTACTATCTGCTTGGTCAAGGTTTGTGGCCCTACTACAGAACAGGGAGAAGGCTAAATTAGCCACCACTGCTAAACACTCAGCTGATTTTTTTTTTTTTTTGTAATGCCAATCTGATGTCAGCATTTTCCCATCTGTTTGGGCCTTTTTCCTCTCTTCCCACTCTCCCCAAGTATTTTATCTGGCCTCAAAATTAAGAGGAGCTGTTCTTCAGATTGTTTTTTTTTTTTCACGTGTGGCAGATTTCTCTTCTGATTCAGGCTGTTTAGTCAGGCCCCTCCCATTTTTAGGAGCTGGAGCCTCCATTTATGAGGAGATTCTCATCTATCAAATGGATCCTTATTTGTAAATCTTTTTCTTCCATTTTCACAAAGCTGTAAAGAAGTAATCCATCTCAACCTTGTCCTTTTCTGTGGGGTCAGTGGGGGGTGTTCCCTCACTCCATCTTATACAAACCTGAGCTGGAAGCTCAACTGGTTTTCCCTGTTTGCAATATCGTGACCTCCCTCCCTTGAAACAAAAACCAGGAACCATAGGAGTAGACTGACTGAAGAAACAACTCCTGGCTTTCTGAAGCTACGGACTTGAATTGGATTGCTGGGGGTTTGTAGAGAAAGGTGACAAGTTTCAGTACCTCTGGCATGCTGTCCCAGGGAACTGGGGCTCCCACTAACTTAAGAGGTTTTTGAAAATGACATGGCATTACAATAAATTTGGATTTGCTCATAATGATGTGCTTTTGTATGCTGTTACTTGATGGAGGTGGGGAAAGTGTCAGTTGAGGAAGTAGTTAGCAAGTGCAACTGTTTTTCTATAGTGCCATAATTTTATCTTCCTAAAACAACAAATATCTTGGGTTGGGAAACCCTGGATTCTTTGAAGATACAGTAAATCATCTATGGGTGCTTGGTGAGTTAATTTTCTAAAGTAGACATGTAACCCTCACTGCTGACATTTGTTCAGGACTAGGATACTTAATTATACTGCAAAAAAACACAAAGTATATCTTGATTCAGGAAGAATGTCTTTGATGTTACACTAATTTTGGGGCCAGGCTGTGTGAACTTGGGTGGGTAAGTAGATTTGAGTATTTTATTACATGGGAGGCACTACTGACCTTGAAATACTATAGTGAAGAAAACTTAAGCACAGGACAAATGTATGATGACATGCATCCCCCATTAAAATATAGAGAGTAGTTCCACTGACCTAAAAATCCTGTGCTATGCCTATTCACCCCTCTCTCCATTATACATTTGTCCAAACCCAGAATGTACAACACCACGAGTGAACCCTGGTGTAAACCATGTATGGTCTTTGGATGATATTGATGTCAATGCAGGTTCATCAATTGTCACAAATGTACCACTCTGGTAAGGGATGTTTATAATGGGGGAGACAATACACAGGACATATGTGGGAAATCTCTGTATCGTCCTCTCAATTTTGTGAACTGAAAACTAGTCCAAAAAATAAAGTATATTAAAAAAAACATTTTCAGCAGGGCACCATGGCTCATGCCTGTAATATTATCACTCTGGGAGGCTGAGGCGGGAAGATCGCTTGAGCTCAGGAGTTCGCTACCAGCCTGAGCAAGAGTGAGACCCTGTCTCTACTAAAAACAGAAAAATTAGCCATGTGTCCTGGTGCATGCCTGTAGTCCCAGCTACTTGCAAGGCTGAGGCAGGAGATTCTCAGGAGTTGGAGGCTGCAGTGAGCTATGACTGTGCCACTGCACCTCAGCCTGGGCACAGAGCGAGACCCTGTCTCAAGAAAAAAACAAAAACACAACCAAAAAGGTGTTATATTCTGATGTTGACAGCATTCAAACAACTCAATTAGAACAAGGACCCTAATTTAAAATTTTTTTGTTTTCAAGAGTTAAAGGACAGGTGTCAGTGGCTTATGCTTGTAATCCTACCATGTTGGGAGGCCAACGCAGGATTGCTTCAGGGCAGGAATTTGAGACCAGCCTGAGCAAGAGTGAGACACCTCATCTCTACAAAAAATAGAAAAATTAGCCAGATGTGGTGGCATGGGCCAGCCTGTGGTACCAGCTACTGGGGAGGCTGAGGCAGGAGGATTGCAGGAGCCCAGGAGTTTGAGCTACAGTGAGCTATGATAATGCCACTGCCCTCTAGCCAGGCAACAGAGAGGCCCTGTCTCAAAAAAAAAGTGAAGTTATTGTATAATAAAACATAACAAAAAAAGAAGAATTATAGCAATCACATACACAAAATTTTACAATATTTTAATTGATAAGATAGAGTCTGTGTGGTTAAGGTTCTTCTTCATCCTCCATAAATTAAATTTGCTGTAGCCAAATCTTTGGGGAACTGCTTGTTTTATTGTGCTTCTAACCTGACCATGCTGTAAGAGTGGGAAGTTCATCTTAACACCAAATGTCATCCTTTCCCTAAAGAGTATTTAGCTAATTTTCCTATCCATTGGTTTCATCTTCACCGCTAGTTAGAGAATCCCACTGAAGTATTTTTTGAACAAACGATGCAATGTGGCCAGCAATCTGTAGTGACATTCTGCGTCAAGTATTGTAGGGGAAAACCGTGGTCAGCTACTGTATTCCGAAGTTATAGGGGAAAAGAATTGCTTTATCTCATGAGAGGGTCTCTTTTTTTTTCTTTTTTGAGACATGAGTCTCACTCTGTTGCCCGGGTTAGAGTGCCATGGCCTCAGCCTGGCTCACAGCAACCTCAAATTCCTGGGCTCAAGCGATCCTTCTGCCTCAGCCTCCCGATGCGCCACCATGCCCGGCCAATTCTTTCTATATGTATTTTTAGTTGTCCAATTTCCTTCTACGTTTTTAGTAGAGATGGGGCCTCGCTCTTGCTCAGGCTGTTCTCAAACTCCTCAGCTCAAACGATCCACCCGCCTCGGCCTCCCAGAGTGCTAGGATTACAGGCGTGAGCCACCACGCCCGGCAGAGAGGGTCTCTTTTTATAGCATAGCAGCACTACCGACTGCCCCCTTAACATCTTCCTATGTTCTGGAATCTTAGGACCTTCAGAAATTCCAAAATCGAATTTCCTTTTTATTTATTTTAGAGTATATGCAATTTATTTTAAAAAATAAGGCAAATCACGAAAACCAATTGGAAATTTTTTTTCAGTCCCCACCTATCCAAAGTAAAATGGAGGACTCGGCAGGAAACTGCAACTCCCAAGAAGCAATGAGAAGCAAGGCGTAACTTACTATCCTTTTCGGGTCTGCACCTCTGGGTCCAATAGTGAAAATAGGTGCTCACTTTGAAATAATACGATGTCTTCATAATAATAGGGGGGTGGGAAGATTGGTAACTCAAAATACTCTCTTTTCCAAGGGAATTCCTAACTCAAACACTTACCTGCTATCTGAGAGGAGCCAAAAGTCATTGTTAACTCCCATCGTACGGCCCCGCCCCTGAGGGGGGGATAGGCTGGATAGCGGAAGTGACGACACGGAGCGCGCTATTAAATAGCCGTAGGCGGGACTTTGGCTTTCTCTTGGCCTTAACGCCATCTTTGTAGGTGAGTGTTAGTGCTGGCTGGGCTCGGATTCTGTGTACAATCCATTAACATCTGACCTCTGCACCTACCATCGTTACAGCAAGCTAACTGTATCCTTTTTCTCTTTTCCTGTAGAAACCTCCGCGCCATGAGAGCCAAGGTGAGCGGTCTCTAGTAGCTTGGGAGGTAGGGGGAGACCCAGGCAAGAGAAGTCCGCCATAAACCTGAACCGCTGGATTCTCTAGGGTGCCCCACAGGTAGTGGGAGAGGAAGGATAGTATGGGGAGAAAACAGAAGGGGTAGTCTTCAAGTGCTGTGGGGAAAAGAGAATGGGGTAGAAAAAAAAGGTGGAATTAAGAGTTTTATGTTGAGGGAGGGTGTTCATTTACTGATGCAAATGCTGCGATCAAATGTTCAGTCCTTCGTACTGAGAACGTGTTTGGTAAATGGTGCACTTCATACCCCTCCCCAAGCCTGGTAATACTAATCTTTCTTTTAATTCTTTTCCTTCGTGATCGGTTGCTAGTGGAGGAAGAAGCGAATGCGCAGGTATGTTCACATTTTCCCAGCCCAAAGAAGTGGAGTGCGCCTTGGTCAAAACTTAAGAACATTTGGTTTGGAATTCTAAAAGCACTTTAGGAGAAAAGCGTTTTGAGAGGCTTGCCTTGCCAGAATCGGTTATTGAATACTGTGCAGTAGAGCCGTGGTGTTTGTTCACTTTGCCACCCCCTGTATTCTTTGCACGTTAGATTGAGTGGGGGAGGAGGGAAACAATTCTGGCTTGAAGACGGGTTGTATTCTCGTGTCTGCTTTTCAGGCTGAAGCGCAAAAGAAGAAAGATGAGGCAGAGGTCCAAGTAAACTGCTTGCTTGTGCACACATGAAGGCCACAAGATCAGAAACATGGAATGCCAGAGTCCGGGGACGCTAGTACAAGTTGTTGGACTGCATGCTACTGTCTGGAACTTGCCTCTCGGTGGATCTAGAACTTCACCGCCATCTGTTCGCCAAGGCCACCTCTGAGAGAACCATCTTGCTCATACCAAAACAGTCCCTACTAGTCCTTTGCTCTGGACCTGACATACTGGACTAGTTCTGTTCTCAGTTGTGGCTGAGTGTAACAAGTATACAATAAATCACCTGCTGTTTCAGCTGAAGAATCAAATCTTCTTGTCTATTATGTGTTTTTTTGCGGTTCTATTTGGTGGGGACCCTGTTACCAGTACAGCTAGTTCTCTGTCACTACTCGTGCTACGGAAGATGTCAAGAAAACTATATTGCTAACAGCCCGGGTTATGTCGTGTAGTCCACAATTTGGCTAGAGCTGGAAAGGGTGTAGTATACACTTGGGGGCAGGTTTCGGAAGTTGGCGGGCAAGTGCTGGTTCCGCCCCTACTTTCCTGGAGGCCTACATTGCGTGTTAATTTAGGGTTCTTTCCCCGTGCTTTGGGGTCGAGTTACCATGGTGACACGCAAAGCTTGCTGGGTGCTTGCGTCGTGTCTCACAGATTCCTCGCACACCATAGAGTGTGGTTCCGGGTCTGGTAGCTAGAGCGTCACTTCCGCAGGAAGCGGAAGAATGGTAGGGTGGGCGGCTCTTTGTCGAAGCTAGAGGACCGGCAGGCGGCAGCAGCAACTACGGCGGCGGCGGCAGGTGAGGGAGGCGGGAGACTTAGGTGGAGGCCGCGCCCGGAGGGGAGGAGTCGGGCCGGCCCAGCGGCTAGGCTCGGCTGGGCCACACAAGGCCCCCCAGAACCGAGCCGTCTCTTTCTCACATCCCAGGGCAGAGCCCGTTTTCTGACTGACCCCTCTTCGCGAGCAAACGCCAGCTCCGTGACGTCACAGCCCTGCCGGTCCTCTCAGCGTGATGTCACCTGGACACCCCCACCCGGTCCCCCTCTTCACGTCGCGCTCCCTTAGTGTCCTGTTCACCTGGTTCATGGCTGAGCGCCGGCGGCAGTACACAGAACCTGCCAAGCTAGAAGACTTGCCGCAGGGAAACTCCTAGGACTTTTTCCGCACACTCTAGGGTGTTGGGAAGCGTCATAATCACCGCCCCCAAGTCTAATCTGCCATCCCACTGCACTGTCAGTCGCTGCCCTTGTAAGGCTCCCCGTTCCGCGCTCCTAACTCCGACCCTCGGCCGGGCTCTGACCCCCACGTCTTGAGGCAGGGTGCCCCTCACCCTTTGTTCACTCAAGGTTTGTTTTCCAACCCATCCTCCCAGCCTCTCCAAGTTAGTTCTTTCTTACTCTTTTTCCTGGCGACTTCTCCCTTTGACAGGCGGAGAAGTTCAGTTTGAACCCTAAGGAAATCCTGAAGTTCCCAGAGCTTTGCCGTTTTGTCAGACTTCATTCTTGTGATATCCACCCCATAATCCTCCACTCTTACTCCTTCTCCCACCCAAGTCTCTATTTTTTTTTCCTGTTCAGAACCCAGCAGTGATGTGGAGGTGGAGACCCACAGGAGCCCCGGACTTCACCTGAGCTACCTCAGGTATCAATAAATTCTGGGAAAGTGGGGTGGGGAGGAATATCATATAAGTTATCTGCTTCTGGTGGGATATGCAACATGGGTCAGGCTTGAATTGATAGCATTTATTTTTCACCTGGTCATTTTCCTTTTAGTAAAAGTTTGTATGTCCTCTTTTGCCACTTCTGTCCTTGGTCGTTTCTGTTACTCTGGGATTATCTCTTTTTGGAGGAAAAGGACCCTTTTTTAAAGATTTTCGTGGGGACGGGCGAGGTGGCTCACACCTGTAATCCTAGCACTCTGGGAGGCTGAGGCGGGCAGATTGCTCCAGGTCAGGAGTTTGAAACCAGCCTGAGCAAGAGCGAGACCCCATCTCTATTATAAATAGAAAGAAATTAATTGGCCAACTAATATATATAGAAAAAATTGGCCAGGCATGGTGGCACATGCCTGTAGTCCCAGGTACTTGGGAGGCTGAGGCAGGAGGAGTGCTTGAGCCCAGGAGTTTGAGATTGCTGTGAGCTAGGCTGACACCATGGCACTCACTTGAGCCTGGGCAACAAAGTGAGACTCTGGCTCAAAAAAAAAACAAAAAACGATTTTCATGTAACTCTTGTCTCTGGTTTGGTCAGTTTATTTTAGGGGAGATCTGAAGGCAAAGTCAAGGCAATGAAGTGGGGTTGGGTAGGTCAAAGCCAAAGAATTAAGATTCCCTTATGTACGCTCAAAGGGAAATAATGTGAAGTTTTCCTGTTTCAACAGCAGGGGGAGCCTGAACACTGCCTAGGAAAGGCTTGGGAGGTCAGACACGTGGTAGTAGGGACTCCCAGTCTTACTGGGGTGGAGAGAGGGGAGGGCTAGAACCAGGGCAGTGGACTGACATTCCAGAGCTCTCTTGGGAAATAGGAGACTTAAAAAGCTTTTATGGAGTCTATAAATAAAGAGAATCTTTATAGGGTGAGGAATGGTGTGGTTTGATGTCAGTGGGATCTTCACATAGGTAGGTAGGAAGGGGGTGGGGAATGGGGAAAGGTCACTTGTTCCATGAAATTAACTCCTTCCCACCTGACCTTACCACAGATGATTTTGTCCCGGGTAGGGGTGGGGGGTCTAGAAGTAGAGATTCCAGCTTAGAAGTCCTCCTCTGAAATGGAGGAGGCTGACCTCTTTGGGGTTGAGAGTAGTGATGGACAGGGAGAGAATACTAAAAAATAACAGGTTTAAGTACTGCCCTCTGTCTCTTCACTCTTGATATCTTTGGTTTTAGAGATCTGAGACGTACAGAACCCTCACCTAAGATTCCATGGAAGAGGAGTTATAAGAAGTTTTTTTTACCAGTGTCCCATCATCCACAGCCCTATTAGCTAAGCACCCATGTTGGGCACTATTCCCAGTCTCCTCCCAGCCTATTCAAACTTGATAGCAGTTTTAATTTCATTTCCACAACTTTAATAAGGTCAGCTCAGAAGAGAAGATAAAATCCAACACTATTCTCTCCCTCCCCTGTCCTTGGCCTATCATCATTAGTGTGATGAGTTTACTTCACCCCAACCCCCCCCCTCCTGTGTTAGCCAGGCAAGTGTGAATCATTTTGATCTAGACCAGGTGCAGAAAAGCCTGGGCAGGACTTCTGATGGGTCAGCCATTTCAGCCAGAATTCTTATCCCTTAGATCAGGGGTCCTCAAACTTTTTAAACAGGGGGGCCAGTTCACTGTCCCTCAGACCATTGGAGGGCCAGACTATAGTTTTAAAAAAACTATGAACAAATTCCTATGCACACTGCACATATCTTATTTTGAAGTAAAAAACAAACAGGCAAAAACACCTGCATGTGGCCCAAGGGCTGTAGTTTGAGGACGCCTGCCTTAAATTCTCCATCTCCAAAGCCATTGCCCCTCTGGGCTGCCTGCCTTATGGTCAGTAAGAGTGGGATATCTCTGGAGGACTTCTGTTTGACACAGTTCTCTTTTTTAGTGGTCAACAAGAGTGGCAAGAAAAGGAAGAAAGCCCTGAGTTGGGGGAGACCAGGATGCCTGACCGGGACAACTATGCCAACGGCACTGGGAACAGCAGTGGAGGCCCTGGAGGTGGTGGCAGTGAGGAAACCAGTGGGGCAGCAGCAGGCAGTGGCGGGGCCAGCTCAGATGCCATCTGTAGAGACTTCTTGAGGAATGTGTGCAAGCGAGGCAAGCGTTGTCGATATCGCCACCCAGACATGAGTGAGGTCTCTAACTTGGGGGTGAGCAAAAATGAATTCATCTTCTGCCATGACTTCCAGAACAAGGAGTGTAGCCGCCCAAACTGCCGTTTCATCCACGGCTCCAAGGAAGATGAGGATGGCTATAAGAAGACAGGGGAGCTTCCCCCTCGGCTGAGGCAGAAAGTGGCAGCTGGCCTGGGCCTTTCACCAGCTGACCTACCAAATGGCAAGGAGGAGGTGCCTATCTGCCGTGACTTCCTCAAGGGTGACTGTCAGAGAGGAGCCAAGTGCAAGTTCCGTCACCTGCAACGGGATTTTGAGTTTGATGCTCGAGGTGGAGGAGGCACTGGTGGTGGGGGCTCAACAGGCTCAGTTCCCCCAGGACGACGTCACGATCTCTATGATATCTATGACCTTCCTGACAGGGGCTTTGAGGACCATGAGCCAGGCCCCAAGCGCCGGCGAGGTGGATGCTGTGCCCCTGATGGTCCCCATTTTGAATCATACGAATATAGCTTGGCTCCACCCCGAGGGGTAGAGTGCAGACTGCTAGAGGAGGAGAATGCCATGCTCAGGAAGCGAGTAGAGGAGCTAAAGAAACAGGTCAGCAACCTGCTGGCCACCAATGAGGTACTACTGGAACAAAATGCTCAATTCCGCAATCAGGCCAAGGTCATGACCCTGAGCTCCACTGCACCAGCGACTGAGCAGACTCTGGCCCCCACTGTGGGCACTGTTGCCACTTTTAACCATGGCATTGCCCAGACTCATACTACTCTTAGCAGCCAGGCTCTACAGCCTCGTCCTGTGTCCCAGCAAGAATTGGTGGCCCCTGCTGGAGCTCCAGCTGCTCCCCCAACTAATGCTGCACCTCCTACTGCTCCACCCCCACACTTGAACCCAGAGATTGCACCACTGTCAGCTGCTCTGGCTCAAACAATTGCCCAGGGAATGGCACCCCCACCTGTTTCCATGGCTCCTGTGGCTGTATCTGTGGCTCCTGTGGCCCCGGTGGCTGTATCGATGGCCCAACCCTTGGCAGGAATCACAATGAGCCACACTACCACTCCCATGGTGACTTACCCTATCGCTTCCCAGAGCATGCGCATCACAGCCATGCCACACTGATGGGGCTAATGGACACTCCCCTGGTATAGCCTCTCAGGGCTGGGGTCGTGGGGCCCTAACCTACTTGCCCAGCCCTCCCAGGCCCTTTCTGAAGGCCTCTCTCAAGAACTAGGACAAGAGACTATAAGGCGTATGCTTCTGAGGAGGGGTTGGGCTGGTGTGTTTTCACTCACCTCCCTTTTATGAGGGTCCTCTTGTCCATCTTCTTTCAAGCCTCACAATGGGGGCTTACTTAGGAATGCAGACTGAAGCTAGCAGAGAGGAAGGACTGACTGAGGGGCTGTATAGAGGACACAGTTGGGGACATCCCTGGTCTTGTCCTCTGTTCTACACAGTGCAGGTTCCAGCCCTGGTTTTGGAAGAAAAAAATACCCTGCCCAGAGGGAGAGCCAGGAAAGATTGGGAAGTGGGTGGCCAGGAGAGAAGGCCTGATAGGAGCCTTCAGACAATTTGGGGCCCAGTTGGTTGGGTTGGACAATACAGAAACTGTTCCTGGGCCCTGGAAAGGCCGGGACCATAGTACTCCAGCCCAAAGACTAGGGAAGCATTCATTACCCTAGGTTGGCCTGGAAATCCATAGGGCAGGGCCCACTACTTTCCAAAGAAATAAAAGAACAATTATTTTTAACAAATGGAGGCAGTGAAAACTTGCTTAGATATTCTGTGTGGAAGATGGGAGCAGTAAGTAGATCTCGTGCCAAAATGGAATAAAGACCCTACCCTAAGTAGCTTGGGTAAATTGGGTAGAGAGGCCAATGGAAGAAGGGTAGGGATCTAGAACAAGACCAAATGGGGCTTTGGGGAAGGTGCTTTCTGGGGTAAAAGCATTGGAGCCACCTAGTCTAGTTTAAAAATAACCCCATCTGTTTCTGATCTCTCTCTGTATGTGTTATTCCCAGGTTGCCTTAGTAACCAGGGCTTCTAGGGTCATTTTAGCAGGGCAGGTATTATGGAGGGTATATTTGCTTAGAAATGGGGATGGGATGTTATATAGTTGACAGATTTTCCCTTATTCAAACAGCAGGGCAGGTGGAAGCTGCCTCTGAGTGAGTGATGCCAGTTAATGTCCCTCCTACCCAGCCCTTCCTCAGCCAGTTCCTTAAGGCTTTAAGGCTTGGGAGGTGCCAGGAAAAGGGAGTTCTTCTGGGGACACAAGCCTCAGGGCTCATCTCTTTATTCCCTCTGTCTCCACATAGGACCAGAGGTTTTAAGTCTTCTTAAAGGTCAATAAGGCCAGGAGCCCCAATAGCCAAACCTCAGTTCCTCCTCAGCTCAGGCTGATGTAGGGAAAACAACTCAGGTGTCTAGTCTAATGAGACAGTGGATTTGGGGGTAGAGAAAATGATCCTGGGTTGTGTTCCCCCCATTGTATCTCCTGCTACCTCTTGCTCTCTTATCTGGTTAATCACTCAGGTTATACCTAGGATTGGAGATGGTAGGCTAGGTCAAAGCCGGTCATTAAAAAAAAAAAAAGGACCTAAAAACTAAAAGTGGGCAAATACTGTTTGTGGATTTTAGAAACAACACATTGATAAGTTTAATGTTGGTTTTCTGACACAATTCTAGATTATTAAAAGAGATGGTTTATGAACATTTAGAGAAGAATGTAATCATAGATACCAACATGAATTCTCAGTCAAATCCTGACTATATTACCTTCTTACTAAGTATCTCTAAAGAGGTAGATTTGGGACACTGTAGACATCATATGTCTTGAATTAATTCATTCCCACTAAAGACCACCGATTGAACAAGTTGAGTTTAAATGCCATTGCAGCAAGGAAGAGAGCACCCCATTTGGAATCATGGTATGTCTCAGCAGGAGGGTGTTAGAAAGGACTCAGAGGACTTAGACATTGGTTAAGTGATTTGGGGGAAGGTTTAAGAAAGTGGGTGTTCTGTTGGATTAGTGCTGGTAAGGGAAGCAAGGATAATTCTATGACTGGGTATCTTAATCTTACCTAGAAGGAAAGCAGCCTAGAGCAGGCGTCCTCAAACTATGGCCCTCAGGCCACATGCGGGTGTTTTTGCCCGTTTGTTTTTTTTACTTCAAAATAAGATATGTGCAGTGTGCATAGGAATTTGTTCATAGTTTTTTTAAAACTATAGTCCGGCCCTCCAACGGTCTGAGGGACAGTGAACTGGCCCCCTGTTTAAAAAGTTTGAGGACCTCTGGACTAGAGTGAAGCTAAAGCTGCAATTGGTGATAAAGTCATTCATTAGCTGGGAAAAGGGATGTTTGCTGTTTTGTGGTTTGCACACTGACCTTGTTTTGTGCTTAAACAAAATTGTGAAGTGATACTGTTTTTCGTCTCACTTCATCACAGTCACTGAGTGACCTCGTCTGATGGTAATGTTTTATGAGATTGTTTATGTCCAACCGAAGAACTCATTGGCTATCTGTGAGCACCAGGTCAATCCTAACAACTCTGAAGCCTGTGTCAGGCCAGTTCCCAGATATCAGAAACTGCTTTCCTCTCTGGCACCTGCTAAGTCATTGCAGATAAAAAAATTTTGGGTCCATTAATTTGGTAGAATATTGATTAGTGCATTCATGTTAGAGAAATCTCTAGTGTCCAGTGACCTGGCCAAGGTTTTTTATGAAAAAAATAAAAAACCCAACTTGGATAAAAATATAAAAATCCCATTAATCAACAGTAACACAGGAAGTGTAAGTAATATTCAAAAAGTAACTTAGATTGACTAAAACACTGCAGTACTCTCCCCTTAAAAAATTGCTTAGGGATAAAGCCTTGAATTTGAGGAACAATGTAAACATCTACATTAGAAATAATTCAGATGAGAACAACCTGGGAATCCAATTGGCTATAAAAAACTAAAATCTTGGCACATGCCTGTGGTCCTGGCTACTTAGGAGGCTGAGGCAGGAGGATGGCTTGAGCCCAGGAGTTTGAGGTTGCTGTGAGCTAGGCTGACGCTACGGCACTCACTCTAGCCTGGGCAACAAAGTGAGACTCTGTCTCAAAAAAATAAAAAATGTAATAAATAAATAAATAGATAGATAGATAAAATAAAATTAAAAAAGGATATGCTAGCTCCCCCATGGTGGAAGAAACTGACCAAGCCTGGGGTTGTTACAGACTCTGCCCGTGCTAATTGCCATGCGATTTAGCAGGGTCTCCTCAGACACCCAAGGTTTAGTGGGTGTGAGGTTAGGAGAGTAACTAGTATTGGAGGGTGATTAGAAAAGGAGCTTATTTTGTTATCTATTCCAAGTGCTAAGAATTCTAACTGAAAGTCCCTTTTTTTTTTTTTTTTTTTTTTTGAGACAGAGTCTCGCTTTGTTGCCCAAGCTAGAGTGAGTGCTGTGGCGTCAGCCTGGCTCACAGCAACCTCAAACTCCTGGGCTAGGCAATCCTGCTGCCTCAGCCTCCCTAGTAGCTGGGACTGCAGGCATGTACCACCTTGCCCGGCTAATTTTTTTTTCTATATGTTAGTTGGCCAATTAATTTCTTTCTAAAAAAAATAAAAATAAATAACAAAAAACCCTAAAATCTTAGTCAATATATAAATATTAAGAGCTGTTATGTTTAGAAAACAAGCACTCCTGGATGTTAAAAAAAAAAAGAAAAAAATTATTAGAAAAAAAAGCTGTTATGTTCTAAGCACTTTTCTAGAAGCTCCTTAAGTGTAGAAGAACCTTAGTCATGGGTTGTAAATATAACAGTTCTATATTATGCCTAAATGGAACCACTCAGTAAGTATTGTGTGTTCTTCTAAATGTATTTAAAGAGAGCCATTGACAAGCCAGTGGGTAGCTGAAAAAGAACTGGCAAGAGGCCAGGCAGGGTGGCTCATGCCTGTAATCCCAGCACTCTGGAGGCCGAGGTGGGCGGATTGCTCGAGGTCAGGAGTTCAAAGCCAGCTTGAGCAAGAGCGAGACCCTGTCTCTACTATAAATAGAAATTAATTGGCCAACTAATATATATAGAAAACATTAGCCAGGCATGGTGGCACATGCCTGTAGTCATAGCTACTCGGGAGGCTGAGGCAGCAGGATTGCTTGAGCCCAGGAGTTTGAGGTTGCTGTGAGCTGACGCCAGGTGGCACTCACTCTAGGCTGGGCAACAAAGTGAGACTCTGTCTCAAAAAAAAAAAAAAGTAACCTGTCCTTCCAAGTCAGGTGTGAGATACAGGAAAAAAAAAAAAAAAGTAACCTATCCAGGGTTCTACAACTAGTAAGGACCAGGGCCAGGAACCTATTCAGGCAGTCTGACTTCAGACTTGGCATAAGAAAGTTCTAATGATAGAGCCATGCAAGGATGGGACCACTACTTGGCAGTACATTTTAGGAATAAATAATACAGAAGAAATTTCCTCAAATCCTGTTGCCCCTTCTGTCCTAGTGAGTAGGCTGAGACCAGAGTACCATAAACAACCCCCTGCTGTCCCTAAGAGGCAATGATAGTTTGCATATAAATGCAGATTGCAAGTCCAGAAAGTCTAGGTATTCTCTCTCTTCACTTAGGCTCCACTCGGTAAGACACTTCCTCTAACAAACGGCCATCCCTTCCTATTGCCCACTTACTGCTTATCACCACCAGGTGGCACCTGGACAGCAGGATTGTCAATGGGCGGGACCCACCCTGTTTGCTTGTGCTGCATTGCAGCTGCTGATCTGTGGCTCTTGAGCTTCAGCCGGGACAAGACTTTCCTGAGGATGAGGTTTTGTAAACCCCCCCCCCAACATCTGAAATAGGAGGATCTGATGACCTGGATAAGGTGAGGAAGGGAGAAGTTTGGGAAAGAACCTCCATAGGTCACCCTCTCCATTCCTCCAGCCTTAGGAATCCCCTACCCTACCCCATTGCTTGGCTGATTTCAGTTTATAGAGAGAGGTTTTCTCTCTAAAGGAGGTTCATCCATTTTCCTGCTGTAGTTCTGCTTCATCAGATGGTGAGCAGATCACTCATTTCTCCTCCAAGTTCATTGTTTCCCTTTTCTACCTGCTCACCTCTGGGAATATGGAGGATAAAGGAGGCAAATAGAAAATTGTTCCTTATACAGTTCTGCAAACTTAATGAAGCAGTCTAGATACTGTCAGTCCTATGGAAGTAGAGAAAGGTAAGTGAGAAAACAAGATTAAGGGAGGAAGGCTGAGCAGGAACAAGTTTTAAGCAGCTTTGATGAAACAGCCCTGTCCCTGCAGAGCCAGATAAAATTTATCAGTTGCAGATCTAGTTTCTCCCCCCAAATCAACCCTAGTTCCTCTGCTGCATCAGAAAGAACAACACAAGGTATACTGCATTAAAAGGTAATCATCTTATGACTAACCCTTCCTTCCTCAGCTTCTACTTAGTCTAGGACCTACTTCTCTGGACAACACTTCACTAAGACCAGTTAACTAGTAACAATAATCATCAGTGTACCCTGCATTTTTTCCTTCGTAAACCTACACAGTACAATGTAGAACTGCATTGATTCTATGCCTGTATTGCAAACTTTTCTTCTAACTCAGGCAAATGAGAAACAGAATCATCTCACCACTATTTTTTTTTTTTTTTTGAGACAGAGTCTCACTTTGTTGCTCAGGCTAGAGTGCCATGGTGTCAGCCTAGCTCACAGCAACCTCAACCTCCTGAGCTCAAGCAATCCTGCTGCCTCAGCCTCCCAAGTAGCTGGGACTACAGGCATGTGCCACCATGCCTGGCTAATTTTTTCTATATATATTAGTTGGCCAATTAATTTCTTTCTATTTAGAGTAGAGACGGGGTCTTGCTTTTGCTCAGGCTGGTTTCAAACTCCTGACCTGGAGCAATCCGCCCGCCTTGGCCTCCTAGAGTGCTAGGATTACAGGCGTGAGCCACCGCACCCGGCTGTCTCACTACTCTTAATTCCTCTATTTAGTGTTCTCAAAGTTCTTCAGGGTCAGGAAATTCTTGGAAAATGTAATAATTTCCTCTGCAGTTGAGGCTGCCCTGCCTTTGGCGCCAATTTCGTCTTAATCCATCCTCTGTGTCCAGCAAAGAGAGCTACTCATAAAAGCGAAAAAATAAAGAAAAAAAAAGAAACATTCTCTATGTAGAGATGACTAGCCAACTCTTGGGGATTTCCAAAACGAAATAAAACTTCACTTCCTATTCGCTCCTCTTTTTTTCTTCTCTGAAGGCTGGATTATCTCAAATTTGTAATTCCCTGGCTTTCCAGTTTTCTCTAGCGTCAGCCGTTACACTGCACGGAAAAGGTAGAGGATTGGAGACAGGATAGGCAGGGTCGGTTCTCAAACACGTCCATTCCGAATGGGGTAATTTCTTTTCCTTTTGCAAGAGTGGCCAAGAAAAGAAGGATAAGGAATGTGCTCAGAGTATGAAAACCAGGGAAAATTGCCCAACGAACATATAGGAATCCTAGACCAAATCCTGCCAAACCGTCCGAATGGAAAGAAATCCTGACCCTCCACAACCCCTCAACTTCGGAACTTGGGCTTTCTACAAAACCGAGTAATTGGCGGT